GCGTGGTGACTATGGTTAATAACACTGTATTGCATATCCGAAAGTTGCTAAAAGAGTAAATCTTTATAAAGTTCTCATCACAAGACAATAAAAAACTTCATAATTATGTATGGTGATGAATGGTAACTAGACTCACTGTGGTGATCATTTTGCAATATATACAAATATTGAATCATGTTGAACAGCTGAAACTAACAGTATGTCAATTATACTTCAAGGTTGAACGTCTGTACCCTGTGCGATGACTGGTGAGAGGCTAAATGCGGGAGGTGCTGGTGAGCCGAGGTAATCTGAGCATGCTACCAGGACTTCCTCCAGCTGTCATTCTCTGAGCAAACCGCGTGGCAATTGTTTCCGGGGGAACCGGCCTTCATCAGCAAAGCTCTTCAGCTGCAGCTGAAAACAAACTCACCATGCAACGACTTCATTCCCAAGGTGTAAGAAGGCCTCCGCAACGGAAGAGACTTGGGAAGAGAAGGGTACGTGCTACTGAAGAGGACATCGTTGGGCAGGGCTTGGTCCAGGAGCGAGGCCCTCGAGGTGAAAAAGTGCTCCCTCTGGCCGCTGTAAATACTCTCGTCGGACAGCGTTCTGTGCAGGGCCCGCCTTGAAGTGGGGGTGGTAGGAAAAGGAGACTGAGGCGAGGAGAGCGCATGGAACTGAAAAACAGTGTCAAGACAGCGGAAGGTCAATCTTCTGAGCCATGTCCCCAAGACTCAGCTTGCGGGGCGGGTGGTTAACACAATCACTGCTCTTAGACACACTCTTCAAATCCTGGAGCCCAGCAAGGAAGCCTCAAGGTCCACCATCTTTGTCTACATCCTTAAGAGCTAAAATGGAGTTCCTTAAGAGTTCCTGGTCATCATATCCTCATAGCCCAGAATGCTACCCGCAGCCTATCAGTGCTCAGTACATAATTCTGATATTTGATTAAGTGAATTCATCAATATTGTGTCATGGTTAAGAACAAGATGAGGATCAGACAAGTGTGAGTTGTATTTGAATCCTGTGTCATTGACCAAATTACGTAATCTTTCTCAACCCAACTCCTTGTCTATGAAATGGGGGCACAACATCTCTCTGGATTATTACAAGGATTAAATGAAACACTGGACTGATCACAATAGTGTTTATCAGTGAGATTATGAAATAATAATATGGTCCCAGGGGAAGAGCCACAGTGCCAGGAAGAAGGTATCCTCAGAAGCTTGTCAAGTGATTGCATGTTTGCTGGGTAACAAGAGCATTTGATCATCACAATATATTAACTCAAATAATAGGTGGCTCCTGATAAGCATTAACTACTATAATTATATTTAATGAGTTTTGGCAATAATTTATTTTTAGAGATAGATTTCTATTTGTGAAATGGAAATAGGGAAGTCATCTTTATAAATGACAAATATTTATATAGTAATATAAACATGACAAAAGTTCCAGATAGCTGTATCTCTTGCTGATGTCTTTGTCCTTTGTGACCAGATTTGATTTTATTTGAGATTTTTCTGCAAAAAGCAAGCTTTTAAGAATCCCACTCATTGAGAAAACAACAGACACATTAACAATATTTAAATATCCAGCATTCCAAAAGCCAGCAAAGGATCTGGTCTGTTAACAATAAAGCTATCTTTATTCAGTTCCTCTTAGAACACGGTTCACCTTGGCGGGGAGAACAATGTGGGGAACAGGTGAAGATGTGAGTAGGAGGGCTGAGTCACTGCTAGCAGAAAGTCACCGTGGGCCTTTCCATGACACTTTGAAGGGGCAGAGAGATAATGATATGGCTCCGTTTAGGATGCTGAGAATAGAGAGTTGACACTCTGGTTCATTCATGTGCTCTGGGTCTAACACGATTCCATTCAATAAGCCAAGGGTTAATCAAGTCAATGCTATCCACAATGTGGTATGCGCAGTTGCTGCATAAATATGAAATAATTATTAATCAAGTACATTGTAAATCAGCCCCAAGTGAAGCCAACTGTATAAAAATTGTGCTCACTTTAAAAAATTCATGATGAGCTAAACCCAAGGTACATTATGTGCTTGCCTAGAAAACTAAGCTGCTATGACAACTGCTCTGTGAATCTTTACGTAGAGGAAACTTGGTATGGAAATGACGATTTCTCTTCTCGCTTTACAGAGGACAGTGGGCATTAGAGAGGTTAAATGGCTCCACAATTGTAATTTAAAAAAAAACAACAACAAAAAACAAGTCATCTATCTGCAAGGTTTTAGGACTACCACAAAAGGCTCCTGCCTACCAAGTCAGATCCCAGATCTCTCTATTCAAAAACTGTTCTCAATCCTTTCTAGCACCTCTGTGTTCAGCAAAGGGATTTCCTTCTCCAGGGAGTATCCTCACCCTGATGGTTTTACAGGAGAGAAATTTTCTACCAATTCTAGTTTCAGCCTCTTTGGGAAATATTAATATGCTTCCAGGCAGTAAACAGCTGCCTCGAAGAGGTCCCTTTAGCAGTGCACTTTATTAAAAGTTATAACATCCTGTAGTAAAGGGAGGCTGGACAGGAGGTGGAAGGATGCAATCTGCCTAGATGCTTTCTGCCCATTAGAAAAATAGCAGGACCTAGAGTCTTGTCCAAACTTATTAGGATGGTTCTGCGTCCCACCCCTCTTCAATCCTAATCTTAAAGGTGTGCACACCTCTGCCTTCCTTGCAGGTTATACTTGAGATTGCTCAGTGGCCCCACCCAAGGCTGTTAGCCCCTGGAAAAGAACCACAAGGGGGTCAATGGCCCACCCAGAAGAGATTTTAGAGAGCATCAGGCCAGGGTGTTTTCAAGTGTGCTCCAAGGAGTCCTTAGGGTTCTTCACAGTCATCTCCTGGTGAGAGGAGATATTCAGGTGGGACCCAGGAGCCCATGACACCTCAAGATACACCCCATCTTATCAGAGAAACTTTGCTTTCTCAGTTCTACATATTGGCTGGCTTCCATGTATAATTTTATTCAAAAAAAAAAAAAGGGAGGGTGACCTTTAAAATTACTGGGGCACCACTGATCTACTTTACTTCTCTATTTCAAAGCCAGGGAAACAAGGTCTTGCGAGGTGGCATCTTGCTCCAGGCCAGTCTCCTATTCTCCCCTCACTCTTTCTGGTGCTCCTGGCTATTAATGAAATGGGTCACCTGCACTTGCAATTAGGAAGAGCAAGTACCATTTCTCCCTAAACACTGGAGCAGCATGAGGTCTCTTCCTTTGGTGTATACCTGACTGAGCGTTGGCTGGAAAACAGTTGGTGTCATTTTCTGTTCACTTGCCACTATGTGCAGCCCTCAGAGAAAATAAGGTTATCCCATCTTTGCCTGCCAATGAGGTTTCTTAGAATGTTACAGCTCTGCTGTTTTCCTCGTGGTAGGAGCTCTACAGCATTTGCGTGGGGCCCTGGAGCCGCCCACCTACCTCTCAGCTACAGCCTTCCCAGCAGAGCATGGCCACAGACATCTGAGTCCTGCAGCAGACATCTCACTCTGCTGGCAAGTGAGCCTGGGAGAGACCCTGTCATCGGATATTAATGATCGCTCATAGTAGCACTTGCTAGCCAAGAAAGCCAATGTGGTATGAGTGGGTTCCAAGTATCGCAGCCTGAAGCTGGCCACTCCTGATACCCCGAAGTCTGATGCAGTGGCTCAGAGCCTTGAGCCAGGCGTGATCTGGAAGACTTTTCAAGAGCGTGCTGGCCTTACTGACACAGCAGAGCCATCAGACAACGAATCTCAGGAGACATAGAGAGCTACTTAGCTGAACTCATCTGAAACCAAACCAAAAAGAATGAAACTGGAAAGAAAACAGGATATTTCCAGCTCTTGCTTCTAGCATTTTTACAGTAATAGTTTAGCCAGCAGAAGCATTTTCTTTGCAGTGTCTGACAGTAATATAGTCACAACATATATGTGCACCCCTGTTTCACATAGGAATGTTAATTCATTTTGAAAATAAAAAACAAGGCCTAAAATAAGGGCAAAACAGACATTTGCTTTCAATTATTTCCACTGCATGAGTAAATCAAAAGAACGACAGCTTTAAGCTTGCCCCTTTCCAAAAATGTTAATTTAGAAATGGAGGAAAGATTCCTTCCATGGCAAGTTTTATTTTCCTCTAAACTCAAAAGGAAAAATGTGAAATAATTTTTATTTTTAAACTGGTTCTTAAACATTTTAATATACCTCTTTGGGTTTTGATGGATAAAGACAGAAGTTTCAAGTACTATCTTTCGAGAGGTTGCTAAGGAAACCATTTGTACCCTAGGTGATGAGTCAGAACTGTTAAGTGCTGGCTTATAAAACAGAAATTATAGAAACCAAGAATGGCAAGTCTTTAAAATGATTTATGATCTTAATGTGTATGTTAATAAATAATTTCTCAAAACTCCAGAATGGTCTCTGGAGTACATTTAATTTCTATACACATTGACTTTTTAAGTTTAGGAGGTATATCTCGCCTCCCTGGAGGAAAATGCACACACGTGCACAGACGCACAGAGGCAGGCCCACATGCAGCACACTGGAATGGTGGTGAGAAAGCCTGATGGGACGAGACCCCCAGCTCCCCAGGAGGGCATATGCCTCTTGCATTCTGATCATAGCTTGAGCATGGTGAGGGGTTAATAGTCTAGTCCCATTTTCAGTTAATTCTCAAAGTCCTTAAATTAAGCTTTCTAGTCACTTCAAACAAGACTACAAATTGCTCAACTAAGAACCTGGCGAACAGAACACATCAAAGTTTACTGCCATGACCCTCCTGGGTGGACTCCCTTCTCTTGGGGCTACGCAACGCACCACAAACAGAAGTGCCTTATACTGAGAGTAAAATACTCTGGGCCCGACTCAACAAACACCAGCTCTGAGCCCCGGGAGCGTAAGACAGTGCGCTTCACAGGACAAGGGGAGAGAGCCTCACGTAGGCTTCAGGGGCCCGCCAAGCTGAGGTGAGCAGAGCAAACCCTTCCACGTGGTCATGCAAAGGTCTGGCCACTGACACAAAAACAAACTCTGTGCAAGTACTCGGGACCTAATGGGGAAGAGGCTGGGTTCTAGAGAAGGCATTTATAGTCTGGAATTCTGAGAAAGAACGGAGAGAAGGCTTTATACAGAGAATTAAGAGAGTCTGGAAAGTGAGTGTGTAGACTTAGTTTGCTAAACTGCAGAGCACACAATGCACAACCAGTAGGTTTGCCGGGCTGAGATCAGGGCAGAAGCAAGGCCAGGCTCACGGTGCCGTGGGCACGTAGGGCAGGCAACAAACTGGGGGCTATTTGTGGGAGAATAGGTACCCTTTGCACACAAGGCACTAAAACCGTTACAGAAAAATTTCTGACAAGCAAGCCACAGAAGAGTTTTGAGGAGCAAAGCCATTTGAGTAATAATGTTCAAGAAAGGGTGTAGCTTGTGCACTGTGAGTAAGACAAACTGGAAGGAGAAAAAGCCGCGGAGGTAGAGACAGGTTAATATAAACTCAGAATAAAGAGATGCTGCTATAGGAATAAATATTCAGAAAACACTGTGAACTAATTATTGGGAAGATTGGGTAATGGTGGGAAGTGGGCTCCAAGGAGTTGGAGCTGGTAACCACTACTTCTCGGAGGGCGTCAACTGAGGCCAGCAGCTCGGTCCCATCCGAACTCTAACTGCTGTTTGCCCCAAGCTCTGTCCTGTACCTTAAAGTTCTTCTGGGATTCGGGAGTTGGGCTTTCAAGGTCGATGAGTTTCTTGAGATCTTCCTCAATAGTGGACTTGGAGGCTGGCTTAGGGGATGCCCGGAGGTCCCTGGTTGAGGCACGCAGCCTGGTGTGGGCTACTTCATTGCCGCCGCTATG